GCTTATGTGTAACTTAAGTAAGAGAAGAAAAAATAAGAATGTCTAAGAGTTATTCCAAATGAGGTCCAGCGGGTGAGTTCTTAGCAGCCTCCGCATCTGTTCGCTGTTGTCGAGCAGAGTGGTTGCCAACTCGTTGGGGTGGTTGTGTAGCCTGTAGTATGCACATATATTGAGTACCCACTGTACCGAGAGTACTTAAAGGGTGCGCACTGTAACACTTTGTTGCAGTGTTTACATTATCCAAAGTCCCGGTCATAAACCCTAAGTGGCCGAAATATGAACCGATCGTTATGCCTTAGCCCGCACACAGAAAGTGCTAGTGTCAGCATAATCGTAACAAACGGTCAGCATATGCATACCCCTCGCGCCTCCACTTGAGAGCGCATAACAACATATATTATTATATTCCTTTATATATAAGTACATAGCCGTCTCTCTGCCGCCGCCTGCGAGCAGCGCTGCTACGAGACTTAGCCTTACTTAGACTTAAGAAATATTGTAAAAGAACAGAGACATTTTGAACGTTGGAGCGGCACCTCAGCTGCTCCTCCCAAATAAAGACCAACTAAAACCAATCCCCTGGAGTTATCCTATCACATGGCGACCGTGACAGCGATGGAAGGACATCGAGGGATTAAAAGGATGTACCCAGGAGGATACCCATAATCAGAAAATCATTGGAAAATTACTGGAAAATTACTGAAAAATTACTGGAGAATTACTGGAATATTACTGAAAATTACTGAAAAATTACTGGAGAATTACTGGAATATTACTGGAGAATGAAAAATAAATCGACAAAAATCTGAGTGAGTAGAGTAAAAGCAATGGGCAATCGCGGAGGAGTCGCGAAAAAAATAAAAAAAAGAGTAGCACACCTAAAGTGGCTACTCTACGTAAACACTCCACCTCCCGCGTGGGCTACAGCCCAAAAACTTCAAACAGAACTAGATTTTCTGAAAGAAGAATTATTAAACAAGAAGAAAAGCCCAAAAATTGCCGCCACTCACTCAGTATCGATTAAGAAAATTAATGAAAAAATAATAACAAAACCTCCACCACCAAAGCAACTACCAAAACTAAAAAAGACGTGCCCGAAGGATTGCCCTGGACCACTGGACAGCCCTCACTGCAACCAAACCTGTGCGAGGACCGGCACCGGTAACGCCTGAGTCCAAAAGGCCCCGGACAGCAGCAGCAGCAAATAGAGTGCGGGAATACGCCACCTCCTGCGCCACCGAGGGAACGTCAGCGTAGCCAAACCGGCGACGACCAGCTGACGTGGAAAAAAAAAAAGGAAATCAACTGAGGAGAATTTTTTTCTTACCCATGCACTGCGTTGCATAATTTTTTTTGATTGCACTGCGATGCATATTTTTTTTTATACTATAACATTTTTTTGAAAAATTGAGCGGAACCTCTTTTGCCCAATTTGAAAGTATGGCCCGTATAGCTGTACAAATAATAGGTAGGAAAAAATGTTAGATAAGAAAAAAAGACAAAATTTAGAAAATTTTTTTAAAAAAAAAAATACGACAAATCCCAAAAATTTATGTAAAATTTTAATGAAAGAAAAAAATAAATTCAAAATAGCATAAATTCCTAAAATTTATGAAACATTTTAATACCCTTTTAATGAGAAGTAATAGCATAAGTAAAACAGATCAAATAAATGATTCTGACTATTACTTCCCAGAAAAATTAAGTTACATTGCAAAACATGACTCAGAGAAAAATATAATTGAAATCGGAAAAACAAAAACATATAAACTATCTAAAATGGGTTTAGTAGACACGAAAGTCGTAGATTCCACGGCAAATGTCGTTAATAAAATTGAACCAGGAAAAATCGATCTTCAAACAATTACAATATTGTTAATGATAATCGTCATTATAATGTTAGCAAGCGTTTTGCTAAAATTATATAAATTACACAATAAATGTCTAAAGAAAAAATTCCAGAGTCAAGCAAATGACCTGGACAAAATCTAAATAAAAAACCAAAAAAAAAAAAACAAAATTATTATACACAAATGTAAACACTTACAATCTAAGACAATGAAATAAAAGAAAATAAATATTAAAATATATTACGTAATTATCTCTACAAAAGTATGGCTAAACTAAAGGCATGGATTGGAAAAAATTGTACGAGGAGTTATCAATAATTAAAACAAATTTTGACAAATCGTACAAGTCCCTATCTCAGAATAGACCCATTCAAAAGAATACGGTTAGGAAGCACGTTGAAATATTAGTAGAGTGCTTTAATGAAGCGCGTATGCTAATACATGATCATAGAGAAAGATTAAATCAAGATCATTGGTCACAGGTATCGAAACTTTTGATACGACTACGATCTAATTTAATATTTATTAAACAAAAGTTCAGCTTAGAAATATCGTTACCAACCGTTCTAAACACTCCAATAGCAGTTGACACTGCACCTGACTCGGAATCAGCAGAAACGAAAGAATCTGAGTCAGAAGAGCTTCCCAAAGTAAACCCCAAAATAGAAGATACAGATTTAAATAATCTTACTATTCCGGCGGTATACACTGATCTGGATAACTCTACAGATTCAGATACTTCGAGTGTCATAGAATACAAGATAGATAAATCCATCACAATGGCACAATCAAATATTGATTTTATTAATACAGCATCTAAGCTTATACCAGTTTTTGATGGTAAGGCTGAAAATTTAACAAGTAGTATGCACATATATTGAGTACCCACTGTACCGAGAGTACTTAAAGGGTGCGCACTGTAACACTTTGTTGCAGTGTTTACATTATCCAAAGTCCCGGTCATAAACCCTAAGTGGCCGAAATATGAACCGATCGTTATGCCTTAGCCCGCACACAGAAAGTGCTAGTGTCAGCATAATCGTAACAAACGGTCAGCATATGCATACCCCTCGCGCCTCCACTTGAGAGCGCATAACAACATATATTATTATATTCCTTTATATATAAGTACATAGCCGTCTCTCTGCCGCCGCCTGCGAGCAGCGCTGCTACGAGACTTAGCCTTACTTAGACTTAAGAAATATTGTAAAAGAACAGAGACATTTTGAACGTTGGAGCGGCACCTCAGCTGCTCCTCCCAAATAAAGACCAACTAAAACCAATCCCCTGGAGTTATCCTATCACAAGCCTCTGGATGTACTTGCTGCTGCTTCTCTGTATCTCCTCCTTCACCCATGGGAAGCGAAGCACCTTATTGGATTGTCTGGTTGTCGTTGTAGACGTGTGGCCCAGTGGCGACACGGAGAGCTCTTTTTTAAAATGTCTTTCCGAATAATAGTCCGAATATTAGTCTTGCTGGCCGTGCCCCAAAGTGGGATCCCGTATGTCCAAATTGGCCAAATAATCGCCTTGTAGATTAGGATTTTCGAAGAGGTCCTTAGCTTCGACCTCCTACCCATCAGTTAATAGTATGCCTTTAATATTACTACATACTGCTTTCGCTTTTTGACTAGGTGAGGCTTCCAAGTAAGCCTCCTGTCTAGCATAAGGCCCAGGTATCTTGGGTTTTCTACTAGTGAGATGGGGGAGCTGTTGAGGTGGGCCGGTGGGCAATTTCCTTAACGGAGAGATAATGTGATGGCGGGTTCAGTTATATGGCAGCTATAGGATATAGTCGACCGATCCTTAAAAAATTTGTAGGTCGTATCAACTAACCAAAAATATAATCTGTACAAAGTTCCAACTTTCCATCTTAAAAAACATGAAAGTTGTGTCATTTCCGATTATTCAGTTATATGGCAGCTATAGGATATAGTTCACCGATCCTTACGACCCTCTAACTCAAAAAACAACAAAGTTACAGCATTTCCGATCAATCAGTTATATAGCAGCGATAGGATATAGTCGGTCGATCTCGGCCTTTCCGACTTATATACTGCGTGCAAAGGAAACAAGGGTGAATGCAAAGTTTCAAGTCGATAGCTTTAAAACTGAGACTAGTTTACGTAGAAACAGACAGACAGACATGCTCATATCAACTCAGGAAGTGATCCTGATCAAGAATATATATACTTTATAGGGTCGGAGATGTCTCCTTCACTGCGTTGCATGGGTATAAAAACTATCATTTATTTTCCCATTTATTATCCCCTAAAATATATGTAATGTAATATGTAATGTATATGTAATATGTAATCGAATCAATTATTATGGATTCTCGTATAGATTAATTTATCTTTCATTTTAATTATTATAATCTAGAAAAACATATGATTGTTAATAATAAAAAATATTAAATTATAAAAAAGTCTCAAACTTCTATCTATAAAAATACCAAATTTGGTATAAAAATACCAAATTTGGTATTTTTTTCCAAATATTATTTTCGATCGTTCAGTAATATGGCTCCTACTATAGTCTTTTTATGAAACTTGGTATGTTGTATTATTTCTCCAAAAATAGAATCCATAGAATCTCGACTCTTTAAATATGAAAACAGCACCATTCCGATCAATTAGTTATATGGCAGCTAGGATGGGATAGGATAAAGTCGGCAAGTTTATATCGAAAGAGTTTTAGGTTCGAAGAGTTTTATATTATATTTGTCCCAAAGGTAGACAACAGAAAAACAAAGATGATGGCGTATGCGTTGGGTGCTTCATTGGGATGCTGCGTTCGCTTTAGCAGCTTAATTTTTGTGACACAAACCAATGCTGTCTTTAAAAACCGCTATGACATTTTCGATAGTATTGAGTACCACCGGCACCGCAGACGAGTATACTAGTAATTCTGAAAAGAGCCACTGCTGCAGATCTCTGCATCAGCCCGAAAGCATCGCTGCGCGACAAAAAATTTCCTGTGCGCCTAGAAGCTTGAAAACGTTGTTGAGAACAAACGTTTTTATATGCGCTTATACTTATTTGAGTATTTAAGTACGTTTTTTTGCATGTAAGATAAGAATGTAAGACACTAAACTAGTAAAGTGTGTAATCAATAAAGCCCGATAAATTTTGTTTATTCTTGTTTTAGCGTGCTTTACGACAGTATGAACAGGCTATGGGGACGTCGGCTAATTTAGGAGATCGTATGGCACAAATGGAAGCTATGGATGGGGCAGCCCGCTGTTTGGAGACTCTACGTATTCAAAATAAAATTTGCAATTGCAGGCCGCTTGAGTTTAATACACGTCTTTTGGAAGTAGCTAGTTCTATTGGAGCTAAGGTAATTTCTTGTATAATGCCTTTAATTTAATTCTTTAAGGTACACTAATTAAAATTTGTTATTCATTATTCAAAAAATTTTTTTTTCTATAACAAAAATTTTTTGAAGAAAATAAAACAAAGTTTTCCGTATAAGTGTCTTTACTTTTAGTTCCTGGTCATCTTGGTCAGGGCCAAGATTGACCTTCAGAAAAACAAAAATATTACAATAGAAATAAAATATATATTATTCCCTTTTACATCAAAGTTATGTAAACAAAACAAACAAGAAAGCGCCGAGAAGCCGAAACGGGAAGAGCCGAAGTTTATATACACTTACAGTTAAAACCGGATATATATCGCAAAAATCGGATATAGTTGGCCGATCCTTATGAAAATACCATAATATGGTATTCTCCAATTTACTACGATACGAAATCTAAAAAAAGTCCCAAACTTCTATCTTTAAGAACATTATAGTTGGTATTTTTACCCAAAAACATTTACGATAGTTTAGTTATATGGCAGCTACAAGATATAGTCGGACGATTGTTATGAAATTTGGTAGGTGGGATCATTTTAGCCAAAATAGAATCTGTAATAAGCTTTTTTGTCAAACAACAAAAACACGAAAGTTGGGTCATTTCCGATTTTTCAGTTATAAGGCAGCTATAGGATATAGTCGGCCGATTTTTATGAAATTTGGTGGGTCGTATAATTTTGCCAAAAACAGCATTCATGCATTCGAACAATCGAAATTCGAACTTTCTAACTCAAAAAACACCGAATACTTCCGTTTCTCCGTATATGGCAGCTATAGGATGTAGTCGGCCGATCCCGGCCGTTCCGACTTATATGCAAAGGATAGAAGGGTGTAGCAAAGTTGCAAGATGATAGCTTTAAAACTGAGAGTCTACTTTGCGTAGAAACAGCTCATATCAACTCATATCATATCATTTCATTTTAACTTAAGAGAATTAAGAAAATATATTTTAATAAAACAAAAACAGGCTGGGAAAAGTAGAATGTGACAGTCAAAACTCCAATAAGTGAGCGTCATTGTAAAAGATAAATTTACAATGTACAAGTGCGCATTGTGTCACTATATTTTGACGATTTCATTAATCGGAAACTCAGCAATTCTGGCTCAAGCTATTGTTGGTGCTAGGTGTAGTCATAATTTTGTGGTGTAGTTCATGACCTAATATTTTGTTTATTGTTGTTTTTATTTGGTATATGGTAAAATTCCATGAGGTAGGTTCTGGTGAGGTTCTTCTTTTGTTACCTTTAATTTTTGGAGTCCACAAAGATCGCTTATATCCCAAGATGTAGACACATATCAGTACCAGTATTACGATTGAAATATACGAAATGTATTCGAAAAGGCTGCATACGAAATGGTTGTCTGGAATGCTTATGACGGATTTTAATTCTGAACGCACTTTTCTATGGAAAAAACTTGTTTCAACCAAATTTATAAAAACATTTTTCTCAGAGAAAACATTTTTTTTTGCTTAAGTTTGGACTGTCAAATGAGGCCGCATGGGAGCCAAAGAGAGAGCTTCTAAAAAAAAATTAAAAGTTCTCACACTTTCAGTGTGTCACAATCGCTGCAGAAAAACTTATATATTTACGCGTGCTATGGAAAATGAGAGTTCGCCCCCCACATGTCTATGGACACAGAGATGTTTCCAAATCAACTGAAAGAAGTTCGTATCTCAGTAGTCATAGTGCCAAATGTCGTCAAGCTGATATTGCCATTGCGTGCTGTGCAACCAGAAGGCATGCTCAACGTGCCAGTTGCCTTTATGTTAATGGGCGATAAAATTCAGTTGCATACAGGTTGAAGTTCCATTGATCTTTTTGATGCAAAGATCTATTGGTTAGATTGGTGGGTTTTCAACAATATTGCTCTGATATTTTGTTCCACTTGTTTTTATTAAATAATTGGAATTCGCATCGACTGTCAACATTGCAAGCCGTTTGATGGTGGAAACAGATATGCTGCTCAACTTCACCAGTTATGGTGAAGTTATTACATTCACTTTCATCGAGCCCCATAAAGCTATCTCTGTGGGCTGTGACGGCAATTGTAGTTGTTTGAAAATTGTATAAGGTCCAACCTTTTGAATCCCAATTTGTAATGGGAACGATGGTTACTCTGCATCCGCTGTAGTCCATTTGCAAGTACACTCATTGAGCTGTGAACTGGAGGAAGAAATCCTCATTGCTTTTTACTTTCGCGATATTTTTGACCATATGTTCTGCGTACGTGGAAAAAATTTATTCAGTACAGTTCCAATGATATTTATCTGTAATCGTCGTTGTTGGGAGTGACGGATTATGTTATTTCCTGAACCAAGCCCCGCGTACAGATGGTTATAATGGTCTAACATTGATCTGCTTGATGCCGTGCTTTTCAATTCTTGACACTTGTGTGAATTCAGTCACTATTATAGGCCGTGCCATGACTGGTGGAAGCATCGGGTAGCGGATAGTTTTCCCGTGACCGGATTGCTAGATGATTCAGGCATTTTGTTGCCATGTTGTTTTTGTGCCGTGTGCGACTGTTTCAAGTTTCGCCAAACTATGAGTTGATTTAATTGATCGTCCGGGTTAATTTATACTTGACGGTACATCTTTTCTAAGTTCGCCGTGAATACATATTTATGGGTTCGGAACCATGGCAGTATAGAGAAAAGCTCGCTCTGAACTGAAGGACCCGTATGTAACATTCAATGATTTTTGACATGACGTTTTACAGGACGCATCAAATAATACTTGCAGTTTGATCCTACTGCTGTCAGCCTTCAAGACGCAATTATGAGGAATTAACCAATGAGCCTGGGTACATGGGTATATGGCTTGATAGCATCAGTTTCATATGTGCCAAAGCTTTGTACTTTTCCATGAAGTCCGAATAACCTTTCCGAACGTCACCAGTCAAGCGTCGCTCAACTGCTAGATATCATTTGATATCAATGTCTTTTGACTCTCCTAGAGCTGAAGGGCGTTCGGCAAAAGGGAGCTTTAAAATAAAACGTCTATCGGCTGCTCTTTTCAGGTTTTCTACAAAGTATTTCTGACAATGTATTTCTGTCGGTGATCGATGTCTCGTTTGATTCTCCAGGTTGTCCAATTTCCGAAACCTTTCAATCAAAGCGTAAGTTTCTTCTCCAATACTGATTCCACCGGACACGGCCGATTGAGTTCTGGACTATTCTTCTTCCTGCGACAATCCATCCAAGTTTTGTAAGTTGGAGCATGGCACCATCTCTTCCAAAATTTTGTTCATTCGGAAAGAGTAACGAGTAGTAGTGTTCGGTTCATATTACTAGATCAATTCTCCCAGGTTTGTCGATCTGGGGATCCGCTAATGCACACTCATTGGGTATTTCCAACTCGCAATGAGAGAATGCTTGGTCAGCTAGAATGTGCGGAAAGGCAAAGGTCCGCTGGGTAAAATAACCATGAAGAGACCTTACTAGAATAATAACTCTTGTACTGTTTACTTTTGGCTGTCTACCAATACCTTCGACTCGAAGTTTGGCACAGTGGCATTTTAACGAAAACATGGATGCCAGTCGTTCGGTGATGAAATTGATATGCGATCCTTTATCCAGCAGTGCTCGAAACTTTGCTGCCTGTCTGTTATGTGATTGGACTGCTACCTTTGCTGTGGAAAAAAGGTTGTAATTTTTATTGATTACTGCACCTTCTGCTGGTGCTGGACGGTTTTTAGTTTCTGGATGTAACAAAGCATGATGCCTTTTGTCACACTAAAAACAATTTCATCCTCGATCCTCGCGGCTAGCTTATAGAGTTTGCGGCTGTGTTCCACCGAATTTATAGATCGACGTGATTGCCCGAGCCCAGAAAATAATTCAAATAGCTAGAAATTTCCACACTGTTTATTTAGACATTTCGTCCAGAATACAAAGGCTTGCTCTCAATCCCGCTCCGTATTCTCGACCTCGCACTTCCGTTTCTCCAGGAATCCACCGCGCATACGCGCTAGCGGGGCGGGATTGGAAGTTGGCTGCGGGCTTTCGCCCCCGCTACATTTGGATACCGCGCATACGCGCTAACGCCAGGATTGAGAGTTTGGATGCAGACTGCTGCCTCTGCTACACCGGGACATCGCGCATATGCGCTAGTGCCAGGATTGGGAGTGCCTGTGTCGCCCCCGCTACACTTGGGATTTACCAGAATTCGCGCATACGCGCTATAGAGCCAGGATTGGAAGTTGTCAGTGGTCGTCGCGCGAGTTAGCGAGTCCGGAGTTTGGAATGAGGGCCTGGTGATCGGAATACTCTCATTCGGTCTCTGACTTGGGCGTGATCTCACGAGTCGGCCTATCCTTGTTTCGCAGGACTACGACTGTTGGTTGCGATTCGCCAGACTTATCCTTTCCTCACTTCCTGTCTCGTCCTTTACGTTTTATGAATACCGGGCGTGCGATCCCGAGTCGGCCTATCCTTGTGTCGCAGGACCACGCCTGTTGGTTGCGATTTCAGGAGTCGGTAAGGCGTACGCCAGACTTATCCTTTCCTCACTTCCTTGCAAGGCTACCTGCCGTGTTCGGGAATGGCCCAACTCGACTCCACTACCCTGGGTTGTCTCGTGTCTCGTCCTTTACGTTCTTCTTTCTCCGTGTTGTCGGACTCTCCAAAGGCGGTCCTCCAACTCAACGTTACAAGCTTCCTAAAAAGACTCGTCCCGATCTGCTCCAATAGGCCTCCTTATATACTGATCGGAGCGCTCGTTAAGCGTCTGCTGTTGCTATGCTGTTGCCATGCTGTTGCCAGGGCCAGCAGCACTTTGCGTCGCAACCCCCCTTTGCTCCTTCTTCCTCCGCTGCTGCTCAACCCGCCACACTTGTCGCGTTGTTGCAGTGCACGATTGGCGGACATCCTCGGCGCCCAACGAACTTTTGAAAAGCCAACAAAAAGTAATCAAAGGTCGGAATCTACTTCTCAATGAACTGCCTTGGACGCAAAACAAACAAATAATGCAATGTAG